CTGATGAGTTTGATCCCAGGACCTACATCATAGAAGGTGAGAACCAGTTTTTACACGCTGCTCTCTGACCTGTCTGTATGTGCTGTATCATGCATGAACACACATACATACACAAATTTTTTTTAAAAATATTTTCAGAGTATTATGATTCAATTTCTGTTACTTCAAAGAATTTCTGATTTATTCTTTCTCTTGATACAGTTGCAAGAATGTAGTGATCCTGATGGGCTTCAAGGGAGGGAAAAAGGAGTCAGTGAAGGATGCCCTCCAAGTGAGAAAGGAAACACAGAGCATTTTCCCACCTCTACGACGGATTCTGATTCATCTGTAGCAGCTGAAACATTAAAAACAAAGACTTGTGGCGCAGCTGTGGGCCTTCAACACATCTGTCCTGATGTTCCTCACATGCTGTCTGGAGAAGCTCAGCAGCCGGAGGCAAAAATGGATCCTGAGTTTATAAAAGAAAACAGTGCTACCTACTCAGCCGAGGAAAAAGAAAATAAAAAAGAGCCAGTCGTAACTAAGAAAAAAGAATTAGATGGAGATCACCTGTCTCCATCACTGAACAAAACTGGAGTTCAAAACATACTTGATTTTGACAGCATAGAAGAAACCAATATGCAGGATGGTACTGTGCAGATCATCAAGGACCACACGACTCACTGCGAATTCAGTTTTCAGAACTCTTTGCTATATGATTTGGATTAATTTTATATAATTTTGCAATTTAAATGCTGAATAAAAAAATTTGGGACCTAAAATAGCTTCTTTGTGTTTTTAACTATAAAACAGGCAGAGGCAGGTATATCTCTGTTAGTTCAATGCCAACGTGGTCTACAGAGTGAGTTCCAGGACAGCCATGGCTACACAGTGAAACGCTGTCTCAAAACAAAACAAAAAATAGCTACTTAGAGAGAGAGAGAGAGAGAGAGAGAGAGAGAGAGAGAGAAATGTATAAACATTTACAGCTGATTCTGGTGGGGAAGCCAGCAGCCAGGTAGGCAGGTACCTATAATCCCAACTCCTAGCCCTGGAAACATCATGCTCAGTTCAGGTCAGGTTCAGCTACATAATGAATTAGAGGCCAGCCTGTCTTCAAAACAGAAACTGCCAGGCAGTGGTGGTGCACGCCTTTAATCCCAGCACTCAGGAGGCAGAAGCAATCTGTAAATTGTTTGAGGTCAGGCTGTTCTACCAAGTGAGTTCCAGAATATAAAGACTACTGTTATACAGAGAAACACTGTCTTGAAAAAACAAAACAATGACAAAAAAAACCTGGAGATACTTTTTAAAAAGTTACCTTAATTATAGAGAGAAGATTTGTGATTTTTCTAATAGAAATATTTTTCTCAAGGAGAATAAAATAGTTTAAAAAACAAAAAGCAGGATGGAGAGATGGCTTAGAGATTAAGAACATTGGCTGCTCTTCCAGAGGTCCTGAGTTCAATTCCTAGCAACCACAAAGTGGTTTATAACCATCTGCAATGAGATCTGGTGCCCTCTTTTGGCCTGCACCATATACATAATAAATAACAAAAGCAAAAAAAAAAACAAACAAACAACAAAAAGCCTCATTTATTTATTTGGGGGCAGGGGTGGACACAAGCCACAGCATGAATATGGAGGTGAGAGGATAAGGTGTCTCTTGGGTTAAACCCAGGTCATCAGTCTTGGTGGGAAGGGTCTTTACCCACTGAGCCATCTCTCTGGACCCTTAGTTTGTGAGACACAGTTGTTTGTACCCCTATAGTCTGGGCTACCCCAGACCTGTGGCCATTGTGCCTCAGTTTCTGAGTGCTGGGATTGTAGGCATGCACCAGCACACCAAACCTTTAAATTATATAGTTGTGCCAGGCAGATCTCTTAGTTCGAGGCCAGCCTGGTCTACAGAGAGAGTTCCAGGACAGCCAGGGCTACTCAGAGAAACCCTGACTCAAAAAGCAAAACAAAATTACATAGTTGTATTACAAGTACATACGTGCTTTTGTGTTCAATCTTGGTTTTGTTATATTACTTTTTTTGTACCAGTTATGTATTTTCATAATAATAGAAGTCTGTCACATATATTAAGTTAATCTGGGGGATGGCTGGATGGCTTAGATAGAGGTACCTACTGACACGCCTGACAACCTGAGTTCAATCCCTGGTACTTGCATGATGGAAAGAGAGAACCTAATTCTGCAAGTTTCCCTCTGACCTCCACACCTACTGTGGTACACAAACTTGTGCACACACAAAACATATATATACAGATAAAAATATAATTAAAAATATATCTTGGGGGCTGGAGAGATGGCTCAGTGTGGTTAAGAGCACTGACTGCTCTTCCAGAGGACCCAGGTTCAATTTCTAACACCCACATGGCATCTCACAACTTTAACTCCAGTCCAGAGGATCTGACACCCTCACATAGACATACATGCAGGCAAAACACCAACGCACACAAAATAAAATAAAAAAATATATATATCTTAAAGCCAAGTGTGGTGGTGCATGCCTTTAATCCTAATACTCTCCAGCTTCAGGTCGGGGAGTTCAAGGCCAGGTCTACAAGTGAGTTCCAGGACACCTAGAGCTACAGAGAGAATCTGCCTCAAAACAAAATAATTTAAAAAGAAAGAAAGAAAGAAAGAGAGAGAGAGAGAGAGAGAGAGAGAAAGAAAGAAAGAAAGAAAGAAAGAAAGAAGAAAGAAAAAGAAAAAGAAAGAAAGAA